TTCCCCCGAGTATAATTTTGACAGGAAAGCAAAACGACTGTGTGAAAATAAAGTTAAAATATATATATATATATATATATTCCTTTGCATTTCAAGCCTAATCCAGGCATTCAGATTGTGGCGAGTGTCAAGATTAAGATTGCGGCATTAGAATATTTCCCCGCTCCAATTCCTCNGCAAGCTGAAAAAGTCGCACCCCATCACTTTTCTGATAGTCCGTCCCTAATACCTCTTAAGTTATTTTTAGATATGGCATCCAGTCATGCCGCGAACAATATAATATCAGCGTTGTGTGGAGGACGAAAATGCGTGTGAAGCTCTCTGGGATATTTGCCACCTCTAGACACCCCTGGGACTTCTGAAGCCGGGAGTGATCTAAAAAATAATTGGACAGGGTTCACCTTGCTGGGAATAAGACCCACGTGGAGGATTAAACCTCTTGCCCTTCATGCTCTCTTGGCACTATAAATAATGTACCTTAAATTTTAAACTAAATTTTGTTGTAGCTCTGATTGACTATGAGAACAAACGGGAAAAAAGGGAACTACTTTTGGGTGTCATCTCGGCACCATTATCAAGTGAAGAATGCAGTCTTTACTTAATAATGGTGCCAAGATGACACCGAAAGGTCATTCCGTTTTTTTCGCTTATTTTCATAGTCAACCGGTATTTCCAAATTTAGCCTTTATAGCTCTGATTATTTCTGAAAACAGCAACACCAACAACACGTACAGTAAATTAGTAGAGAGCCGTAGTAAAACACAGTATCCGTTGGTACCTTGGACAAAACAATCTCTCAAAGAAAAGTCTCATTGCCAAAGAATTATATGTAAGGAGGCGCTTCTCTCACTCTTCCTGCTTTCTCATATGAATCATATTTCGACATTCATATGAACAATCGCTAACAAGTACTAATATATAAAGTGCCTTGAATAAAGCGCTTTTTACTTGACTGGTGGGGTTGTGATGCCATTTCACGCACGAATTTTAACCAAATTCACACATTACGGATACTTTTAGCTACTTTATAAGCAATGGTGTTTTCATAAATTCACGAATCATGTATGTATTTCAGTTGCTTTTCATCTTGTATCACGAATACGAAAGAGAAACATGAAAAATACGTCTTCTTTACAATTTTTAATACAGACAAAAGAAACGCAATTTATTTGCTTCTACGTGATTTTTTTTAACTATTATTATATATTTTTGTTCTCTCTATTTTGACGTATTGCCGAACAACAAGATCGTTGTTTACGAGGTAAATGTCAAGTAATACAAAGAGGCTTTCCTATACTGTGTAAAGGGAATTTTAGTTCGATCTTCGTTGGCGTTAGGAACTTCAGTTTCAGCAGCTTATAACAGCTCTCGTGGCAACAGGGCTATGACTCTCTGGGAAAATAGACGCTCTAAACACTTCTAATCACCGCGTGCTGCCTCTTCATAGGACGGAGGCATATCAACCTGCAAAGTCTGGTAAGCTGAGGCAACAACTTCATACGGAGGAGGTGGAAGCAGAACTATTTGTGGTTGGCTCTCCAGTGCACCTAGAGTGAGAGTTTGGAGTGCATCGATGCCATCGCCAGCTTGTCTTCGAATGGCAACAGGAACACCACTAGAGGCCTGTATAATGACGTAACCAGCATTAGGAGACTTAAAATAACCGTATCTCAGAGAAAGTTCTCGATTCTAATTGGTTCTCCGTGCACCTTTTTGTCACATATATAATTGACACGCAATCAACTATATTTAGGCCTGTAATGATACCTGTTCAATTACTTGAAACATCTTCGTGATTAGACATCTGTAATTTGACACCTACAAAATTAGCATATTACGTTCACTCAAGTTGTTTTTACCCCCGCTTTTCGTAAAACCGATGGAATATACCACTGATATCGACTTATTCACTTAACGGTGGTTCATTAAAGCCTCAATGTTTTGTTGTTTGCATAAAAGACCAATGGACAGACCATAACCCTCTTTTGATTTATCATAGTTTCAATGGCACCGAGGTTCTCTGTTTAAAAATTTCTTTCTTTAATCTTGTTTACTTTGCATCACGTCTCTTATGGGATCTACCAGACAAAGCCTGGAAGTCATGTTAGAATTTTAACATATCTTCACCTGGAGTATTATCGCGCGACCTTTAATGGGTCAAGAATTTGCAAGATATCCTTTTACCCTGCCTAGCACGCGGGATTCGTTAGCGAGCGACTGACAAATTTTGACAGCTGCGAACCTGGAACATCATCCTTAGGAGAAAACGCCCCGGGAAACAGACGTTTCTAGCTTTCCGAATATTCCATTGCCGCGCACAAACTATTACATATAAAAATAGCTTTAGCTATAGTGGCGCCATTCTTTGGAACAGTCTTCCTTGTGACTTAAGGGAAGCAGAGTCCCTGAGGCAGTTTAAACGCCTACTCAAAAGAGATGTATAAGGCACGGCATTCGTGGAAAGCAGCTTTTGTTTCATTTAATTACTTTTTTATTACTAGTTATTGGTAGTTTTAGCTGACGAATTTTTAACCGTGTTTAAATAAAGATTATCTATCTATCCGCAGTCAATAATCTAATTGCAAGGCGACGGCAACCCTACCCACTCAAGGAAGCGATGATGAAGATACGATAGGCGAGATTTAAATTGCCCCAGAAGAAATATTTTCATTAATATGAGTTAGTTTCGATTCTTTCCTGCGTAGACACAAAAGCACTTTTATTATTCAAAAGCACGATTTATTATTTAGGTAAAGCCTTCATTTGTTTACTTCACTTCTTAACTCGTTCCTCGTTCCTCGTTCCTCGTTCCTCGTTCCTCGTTACTCGTTCCTCGTTACTCGTTCCTCGTTACTCGTTACTCGTTACTCGTTACTCCTCCCTCTTCCCTCTTCCCTCTTCCCTCTTCCCTCTTCCCTCTTTACTCTGGAGGGGAGAACATATGCAGCGCCAGTAACCTATCCACTTATTGACCCTTTCCAACAGGGCTAAATTGCCTGATCTAACGGCAACCGTTACTGCCCTTGGGCTACTGCTTCGCCCCTGAGAAAATGAAGAAATTTTAAAGGTTTTTAAAACCAATCCTTTAAGAATCACTATTACTTAGAAATTAACGTGTCTTGCGGAAGGTCCAGCATCACAAGCATATTTCAGTGAGGAAAGTACACTGAAAACAAAACTGGGACAGAGGAATATAATCCCTGAAGACTGCAATTTATTTTCCTGGTTGGTTTAAGTTGAAAAGACTAGGGCGAGAGAATTCGCCGCGAGTTAACTGTCCGCCTGCCTCATTTCTTATTATGCCAGTATATAAACAGATTCAAATAAACAGTCTCTTGGCCGGATTGATTAAATTTTACATTTGAAGATTTATATGTATGATTTATCACTCTGGGGTGCCTTACCTGCTGTGCTGGAGTGTAGCAACAGGTACAAGGTTTCATCACACAGACGCACGAAGCCGCCCAGAAACCAATGACAAACTCGATGATGCCGAGAATAGATCCGATTACTCTGATAAGGTGTACGGAAGAAATAACAATGTAACAGATGACAAATAAAAAACCAACCACAGAGGATGTGATAGAGAAGCCCATGAACACACCAGCCTAGGAATTAACCAAGAACACATTAAAACTTAAATGATGTTTATCTAAAACTATCTCTTTAATTCTCACACTTTCACGTTTTGCTTCATTCTGTTGTTACTATTTATCACAATTAGCATTTTCTACTTATTCTAAATTCAGCTTTCATCGCTTTGTACTTGTATTGCTGGTTTTCAGTGTCACGCCATTCAAAATAGATAAAAATCAAAATCAAAACCGTTCAATAGATTANCTGACAACTGTCAATAAATTTCGCTGGCAGTTGTTTCCTGTTGGGTGGACTGAGTAGCTTGGAAAACTAACAGAAAGTTGAAAGATGTCAGCAAACAAAAGCTGAAGCCATATCGAATCATGCTATTAATCAATGCATTTTACTGCTACAAAATACATAGAACATTGTTAACGTGTTCCCATGCAGTTGTTCTACAATGGTCACGAAACACCACTGATGACGTAGCATTACGTCAGCCTGTGAAGCGTTTCTAATTGGCTGTGCTATACCCCTAGCAAATAATAGCCGTATTACGTGCAACTTATCACAAATACGGAAGAAAGTTTTCTGCCTGATATATGTAAGACGCCTGTCTTTTGGCACGCGACTTGTTCTATTTAATTCTATTTAACAATTAGGGTGCGTTCCTTTGGGGGTGATCTGGATCAAGATCAGTGATCCAAGATTACTCGAATCATGGTGCATCAAAGGAACCTATGAATCCATTCTGGTCACGGATTCTTCGGCTCCTTAAAATTTGACGCACCGTGAGCCGAATGATCTTGGATCACGGATCCTGATCCAGGTCACCGCAAGGAAATGCACCCTTAGTTGTTCGTTGTTAGAAAATTTTTTTAGATTTTCTCTGTATTCTTGGTTTTCACCCACGCGACCTCCGCCTTGACGACGGTTGCTATCCGCCATGTTGGTGCCCAAACAAACGCGCTCAATAGAGAGATCNCAACTTCTAAGCAACGTTCATTATGACAAACTAACTTTGGCTTATATTCGTTTAAACAGTAAATGTATATCTAGAACAGTGCAGCAAAGCATTCATATCAAAACATCTTGTTACAACCTCGCAATTTGTTTTCAGTCTTAATAAGTCTTCCGGAGAACTCCCTTCTCAAAATCACGTACGTAGAACAGAGTGGTGAAATCACGAATATGGTTCGGTTAATAATTTAAGATCTTCACAGGTCACGCAAAACCTTCAAGTCACGATCGCGAAAAATAATTAAGTCACATATTTTGAGCACTACAGCCTGAATGCAAAGTTCGAAATGACTGCCCGGGTAGAATGCGTTATAGACAATCTCATCGCCGCTATATTGAGGATTTTGCCCGGCTTCCCAGCAAGCTATTTAGGTTCACAGGATATCGCTCAGGTGGCAGAGTAGTGTGCTGTTTATCCGACAGCTATGTCACGGCCGACTCATCTTGACCAATATTTAAACAGACCAAAAGACTCTTTTAATTCAAAATATTAGAATAAGCATCAGCGACCCTACGCTCCATAGCAGTTAACTACATCGAGTCTCCTCAACGCTGTATTTTTGGGGGGCGCGAACCATGGTTATAGATCCATATTCTAAATAACGAAAGCCACATTGGAAGTAAAATCTCTCTTTAACATGACGTCTATAAATATATTTATGCGCCCTAAGTACAAAACAAAAATCCACATTCGAAGAACCGCCAATTCTACTCACCCATATACCGGTCGAAATCCCCAGATATAAAATACCAGTATAACTTCCCAAGACACGGTCTGCTATACCGAAACAGACGAGTAGAAACCCGACAATAACATGGCAGACGGCAAGGGCTCTTGCCTTGGTGATAGTCTTCGTTAAATTATCCGCCATGTTGTTAGTGTTTCAACAGTAGATATGTACGATGAACCATTGAGTTACTACGATACAATTTGCATGATGAACAAGAACTTGGCGATTTGGCGAAACTATGTTGGAAAGCTATTCTTGGTTTTCACCCACGTGACCTCCGCCTTGACGACGGTTGCTATCCGCCATGTTGGTGCCCAAACAAACGCGCTCAATAGAGAGATCACAGTGAGAAAGTGAAGCTTGAAATGGTTCTTTGCGTTGTTTTTGGATGTGGTAGTAGAAGTGACCGAGATAAACGGATTGGATTTTATCGAATACCTTCAGTGGTAGCCAACAAAGGAGAATTTGAAGAAGAACTGACTACAGAGCGGAGAGAAAAATGGATAAAAGCGATCAGTCGCGGAGACACAGAATCGAAAGACG